TTACACATTTAGAGACAACAGTTAAACGTGCTTGTATAGCTATGACTTCGCCTTCATATAACTCCCTAAAGCATAACACGTAGATATGCAAAGCATCAATCAGTTTCCATTTTTAGAAAAATTCAATGACAGTATTAAAACAATTCATGCAGGTGTTACTTAAAGACTCACACACTCGTTGTCGTCATCACACATACTTAATAAAAATTAGTGCTGTCATTTTCACCAAAGGCGAATAAGAAACAAGTTATTTGTCCTCTGAAACGTAAAAAGTTCGACTGTTGGTGTATATTCTGTGAAAAGTACAGTAGATATATCGTAAAAACATGTTGTCGCTGCTTTGCATTAATTGAAATCAGAAAACTTCAAATTATAAAGAGAACTATAAATGACCTGCAAGCGAAAACCACATGACTGTAAAAAATGCGCTAAAACATAAACGTCTTTCTTCACGAATATATTTTTATATACACGTGCATGTTGTAATAAGTCGGGAATTAAAGCGTGTTGCTTCTAAGTATATATTTTCATATTTATTTATAATATTTTTAGACATCACTGTAACAGGCACAACTATTCTTGACTTGCTTGGTATCAGGGGCGGATCTAGAGTATGTCAAATCCGTCGCGCGACTGACGTTTGAAATTCCAAATTTACCTATTCAAATTAATTAAAAACATTAATTATTCTTACTTTAATATCGCATTTACTTCGTGATAAAAATCCAGCTTTATTTATTATTGAAAACTAATGACTAATCCAATGAATATCTCGTTGGTAACTAGATCAGTTGAATTTTAATTGACCTGGAATAACCGACAGATAAGCGGGGTGTCTTGACTGGTTCGACGGATAAATGAGTCTATGAACGCCAAAAACGCTTATTTTATTGGTCAATGGCCAGATTAGTGGACAGTCTGGAATGGTCTCGACTGATAATAGGGGTGGCCGGACGTATAAGGGAGTCCAATTGCTATCTTACAATTGGTTCATTTGAATTTTTGTTTTATTGTGATTGGTTTGACGGATTTCGACTGATAGCCAACTGAACTAACATAGTCAAGATCACTGTCTGAATTGAATGTTTGATCGTTTCATAGTAATTTTATAAGCATGATAGAAACTAAACTACAATCAGATGGAATTTATGGAAATCTTTACAAATTCATATATTGACATGAATGCTGCTGTCCAAACCGTGAATTTTTCAAGAGGGTGAAAAATTTATGGATAAATTGTAAATGCTTGGCAAAGACGATCTCGCGAGCGACATTTCAGTCATTGATGTTCAAAAGAAAGCCAACATTGTTTTGAGTTTTATCAGCAGAAATTTACATCGAAAAGTAAAGGACAACTGAAGTGTATGCATGAATGTAATATATCAAAGTCAATTTATGCGAGTGTGTGATGCGATTTATGTCAATATGGCGTGTATGGTAAGCAGATTGATGCTTCTAAAATTGTTGTTGCCGAAGGACTTTTAGCTATGATTTCTTTAGTGCTTGGGGAATCGTGTATGGCAGTGAAATCCTACATTCCTGCAAATATATTTCAATGGACAAAAAATCTGTAGCCATAAGGCGCCATACTATTATTTGCTTTATCATAAACAAATGTTTGGGGCTTTTCAATTTATGATCATTGATCATTCAATCATTGGACAATTATACTACATATTGTTTAAGATTTGAGAAAACTAACATTGATTACATGAGAAGCTGTTTACTATAACCTGTGATTTTAAGTCTTCTGATCCATGAAGCTTTTTATTTTGACAATTTGACTTGAATGGTATTAAACTTGAGTATTTCACATACATGAAATGTTGTCCCATGTCACATATTGTCCCCTTTTCTAACTGAACACCACATGTAGAGATATAAAGGTGTGTTAATCTAGGGCTCATACCAGATTGTCTGCCATAAATTCCAAAGAGCTATTGATGTATGAAAAGCATTTTCTATAAAGTAAAAATGTGTTCCAATGTATGCAGATAAACCTTGAATTTTGCAAAACAACAAAGTATTTTTCATGATCACTAGGTAATTTTTCTGATGATCATTATAATTTCTAAACTAAATTATTTCAGATTTACATTTAAACAAGCTTTGATCTTATGAAAAGATATTTATCATAACCAGTAAGCATGACACATGAACCAATTTTAACATTCATGTAATTGCAAAATTAAAGACATGTTGGTTACATTCTGTTTGTATTTGCTAATACAATGCTACTAGTGATTGCTATATAGCACACCTTGCATATACTTATAGAAGATTATTATCTTCTAGTGAAATGTCTAGTGAAATGCCTAATAAACATTTATGGCATTAAGCTGTCCTTAACTGCAAATTTTCACTCTGATAATTTTTGCTTAATCTTTGGCAGAAAAAAATTTTGAGTTTTTTCTCATAAGGTGAACTTACTGGCACTGATGTGGAGATGGGTGAAGGGTTACAATAAACTTACATGGTTTGAAGTCTGAGCTTTTCTATATCTATGAACTGTCAATTGTAGTACCAAATTTCTAACTTAACTCATTATATAGAGGTTTGAATGGGGGTCTCTAGGGGGGTCTATGCCTGACAACTTGGTAGAAATTTTTAAAGACTATATCTGTTTTTGAATAGCATTATTGTAAAATGAATTTTACGTTCCTAGACATGCTAATGAGCCATATATTTGGCATGATAATGAGCTTAATATTTGGCAAAACATTCAAGTATTGTTCACTTCATTTTTTTTTTTGAAAAACACGTAAGCAAAATGTGTTATTTTTACCCAAAAACGATGCCCACAAAATACATTTTGTATTGCTCTAAAACGCTGAAAATGGCATTTTCAAGGCTCTGAAATTCAAAATTTCTCAGGGGAGAATGCCTCAGACCCTCCCCCCCAGATGCGGAGCGCCTCCGACATTTTATGACTGATGTTTGAAAAATCCTAGATCCGCCCCTGCTTGGTATGATACAAAAGAATATTTTATCAGTGCTATTATTGGCACCAGCCGACGTGGGCGAGCAACATTGTATGATAAATCTCAAGAGAATGGTTTCAAGTCAAGAATTGTGACGGACAGAAGCTCTTACAATTTTACGAATACAATTACCCGTCTTAGGTACGAAATAATGGTTAAAAAATGCTACTCCTTTTGTATATATATATATATATATTGATGAGAAGGAGAAAATACACAAAAACTACAATTTCATCCCATTGGATGAAATTGTAGGGATGAAATTGTAGTTTTTGTGTATTTTCTCCTTCTCATCAATATTTACGCTCTGCTCTTAAGCATCGAGCACTGTACTTACGGAGATTCAAATAAACAAAACTTTATATATATATATATATATATAATGCTGATCACTTATGCAATGTTGTTTAAAGGCTTGTCTCTTTTTTACATAATATTAATCCTTGTTAGTAATCTTGAAAACAATATAAATGCATTAACACCTGCGCTTAATCAATCAGCAATTTATGTGTATTGCTTAAGTTTATAGGTGCAGTATAAGAGTACTAAGCCACGAGTCTTGTAATACACGAAACAACGCACCTTTATAAGTCCAAAATGTGTAAAGTTAAATGCATGGGCACAACAAACGCAATAAACTATATTTGCACATTGATTGCACGTAGTTTACACGTGATAAGAATTAATCCTCGCCATTTTCTCTGTTTTATAGCAACATGTTTATTTCTTTGAACTCATCATGTTTTCAACTATATGCTTATATTTTAAAACTTGCAGTTCGTTTAGCAATAAAAGTTGATTGCAAACTTTAGTTTGCTGCCCTTTATGAGAAAATACAAAAATATCAAGTCGCTGCATTTCAGATGTAATTTATTTGCCACTGAAAGATCGTATACACAGCTCAATTAAAAACATAATGTTAAACTTAAGCATATTTCAATCAACTGTATAAAATATTTTGTGCACTTATAAAATTTTGATTTAAACATAATGAGGCAAACATTTATAAATTTCATGGTAAATATGTATAAAAGTATTTTTATAAATACTTATCACAACTTATTGTTGCCCAAAAAATAACTTTCATTGAGCTAGCAAGATTAGGAATGTACTTGTTTTAAAAATGAAAAAGACAGAGAACCAGACAAAATAATGCATGTAGTTTATACAAATTAAATGGGTATTCTTGCACTGCTCTGAGAAAACTGACTCGCTCTGGATATTTTATAAAAAAAATCTTATCACGAGCAGCTTACCTACACAAACATTTAGAACACACAGGCACAACAACGACCAACTGCATGCACTTGTTTTGGTTTCCAAGTAAATAGCTCTTTTAATAAAAAACAATTAAAGAAATCATCGGCATGGAATTGCGTTATGAATGCAATCCTGGTGTCGAATATCCTAAATCGGTTGAAGTAAGACTTCTCAAATTGAGAACATAGCATGTATGTGATTTAGGAGGATATCCTCAAAAGGTACTCTCAAAGAAGCCATATTTGATTTTTATATGCATCTATTTCATCTATGTATGCACGTTTTTAGATTTTATCACAATTGACGTCATACCTGTATATCTATAACTGTATAGACAACGGTCAAATGTTATCTATTTGTCAAATAGATCACTCATCAAAGGTGATCACAGTAAGATGACCGCCACACTTGATTTCCGGCTTCAATTTTGGTATGTATAATATATAATAGATGCGCTCTGCATGTATTTAGCTCAGTGATTAAAATAATATATATTCAATTGTTCGCTCCTGTTAGAAAAAAACAATTATGGTGCCATGATGTTGGCATTTCTACGTTTGATGTTAACATAAAATAATCTTCGTTTGATGATATTTGCAACGATTAAAACAAACAAAGACGGCTGACAACCGAAATGCAACATGGAAAAATCAAGAAAATTTACCGAAAGCTCTACCTCATTATGTCAAACGGTGATAAAGAGACAGGAGACTTTGGATTTCTTCGTCACGACTTTCCAATATAGTTATAACTAAAGTTACTAAGGATTGCATACCTCCACCGCAGTGATTGACTGCGTAAGAATTTTATGCACGGGTTGAGATGGATTGAAAACAATTACAAAACTTCAATTAACAAAGTTCAAACTTGGTAAAATATCAAATCATAACATATATATAATAATATATAAGAATACAGTAAGTTCACGCTTGCATTTGTCCTGTATCCCCAAGTTACAGATAACAAAGACGATGACGAAAAACTTGACTACCACGAACACCACGACAAACATTTCAGTGCAGAAACAAAGACCAAGAGAAAGATTTCGAAAATTATATGCCACTTCCAGACACGACAGCTCTTCGTAATTGTCATGTATTCAATTATCGCCAAAATATTCAATTAACAAATTTTAAGACTAAGTAAAATATCTAAACATAACATTTAAATAAAAACAGTATATGCTGACGGAAGCTTGCATTTGTTCAATGACCACAAATTACAGATAATTTGGGCGTGAGTAGATAAGGTGCAGCTTTGTCACACTTTTGTCACAGAGCTCTTACCCGTGCCAGTTAGTTTCCAGTCCCCTCCAGTTGATCGGTGCGCGCGCATGTCAACAGGAAGCAGACTCAGGCGGGAAGTCGAGTGTAATGGGCTAATATGATAAACGGGAAATGAAACAGATGTAAATTAGAAGGATGCCATTGTTCCATATTGGATTGTTCTAGTATCGGTAATTCCGTTTCCTTTCTCAATCCATGGTACAGCAACAGATAAAAAGTCGATTGCATTTCATAGCTTACTCTTTATTGAAAGGTTTACATTTTATCTCTTTAAAAATAAATGCCATTGAAAGTAGACATTGATCTAGCCTTAAAAATGTCGGCTTTGAGCTTAGAAGAAAATGAATTAAGTAAACTTTTGGATTTAGAAGAAGAAAATGAAATAAGTCAACGTCAAAGTTTGCTGGACAAAAAACTATTAGACTGTTATGCCAATGAAATTACTGTAATGATACATGCCGCGGTAAACAAGAATTGCTATGGTTGTGCGATCCAACGTCCCTCCCAACGCAAACATGATTATTTGATGATGGAACCCGATGAACGTGCGAGGTTGTATTTCGATGATGCCCTGGAAAGCGTGTCTGAGGAGACTGTTATGAAAGATTTTATGAAAAGCATTGAAGATGTCGACCCACCCGTTAACGGCCTTGAGGGGACTAATAAGTAGCAAGGCTTCACGTGCCGTCCCTGATTTCGACTGATTGCTACAACACGCGCAACACTTCCAAACTTCCAGCCCGAGTTTGGATCGCCCCTTGGCGCGGAAAGATATGATGATGATGAACGGCCTTGAGATACTAAAATATACCTGTAAAGATTGGCTTAAAATATTTGTTTCAGATAAAATGAACAAACTTAAAAAACGAGTCATTCAACATTTATAAATTTTTATTAACACTTTTACATTAAAATCTTTTCTGTTAATGTTCTGCGTTGAACATGATGCCCTCGGTACACAGTTTTCTGAATGAATGAAATAAGAACCACTAAATAAAATTGCTGCTTCCGTATGACAGTTTATAACTCAAACATATTTAAACTTTATATAATAGCACAAAGTAAGGTATAAACGCACCCATGAATTACAAACTTACATCAAAAATCGGCGAACAGCTACATCGACACCTGCGTCCAATACACTACATGAATGAAGAGTAAAAATCAATGACATGAAACGCAACCTAAGATTAAAATATTTTAAAAGCATACAAACCCGCAAATTTTGCATTGGAATTTTCCCCGTGACTCTATCAATGGGAACAGATGGACAGTATGAGCACATTTTGCTTTCGTGTAAAAGTCACGACAGCGATTACATTTTTCTGAAAATGAGGAGATAGATTCTGTTGAAGATAAAAAACATTCGCTAATTTGAAATAAACAGAAAGAACTCGCACTTACTAATTTTTTTTTGATGCTGACTCATGCGATGCCATTCTGCCAGACTTTGCGATTTGTGTGTCTTGAGTTTTTGCAGAGTTTTTATCGTCTTAACACATACAAAACACTTTTAGTATTTCAAGTGGTTGAAGTACACAGCGCATGCGCTTGAGATGTGACCTTCGCTGCCATCTCGCAAGTGTAAATTAAAAATTACCATTGAGTAGTAGCACCTTGAATAGTGAGGCGTGGGTAAGATTTGTGCAGTATCCTACTGAGGGGAATGATGCAGTAAATGATAAGGACCCGTGAATATGACAATGTGAATAAAGGAGCGGCATGAGCACAAGTCAATATTAAAGGGAAATAAAAAGAACCTTTAACATACCAACCAACATGATACAGTAAATGATAAGGACCCACAAAAGATGCCTGACAATGTAAATAAAGGAGCAGCATGAACATTAGTCAATATTAAAGGGAAATGAAAAGAGCCTTTAACATACCGACCGATATGATACAGTAAATGATAAGGACCCCACAAAAGATGCCTGACAATGTGAATAAATCATCGGTTTGAACATGAGTCAATATTGAAAGGAAATTAAAAAGAAAAATCATGTTGTGAAGATAAGATCCTGCAGTGTGGGCGGTATCATACAATTGAAAGTGATGCAGTTAATGAATAATGAGACGGCCTCTGGAAAGATATCAAACAATGTACCAAAAAGGATTATTGATTTGAACAAGTGTGAGTCTTACACTTGAATGTGATTCTATTCAATTCTTCACTCACAGTATGAATGAGACCTATTCTTCTTTAAACTAAATCATGCGTTGGTAAATGATTATTCATAAGAAGGCCAACACTTTAAAAAGGGGAAAAATGTTCCTGTTGCACACCAACTTGAACAGTGCTTCATTATCGTGTTAAATCTGCGTTAGGAGAGCAAATACTCCTCAAATGCAGCATTTTTTAAAGACACATGAAATTATAACAGACCTTTACCCTGCCGATAGCTTTTTTGGAGGAAGAGTTGAGGGTTTTAAACTGTTTCGTAGGGCCGAAGAAAATGGGAAAATCTTTTATAACGATTTTACAAGTCTTTATCCATTCGTTATGAAAAATCGCCGTTATCCTATAGGTCACCCTACAATTATTCGCAAAAATTTTGAAGATCTTTCAAATTACTTTGGTTTGATTAAGTGCCGCGTTTTGGCACCAGTAGGCTTGTATCATCCCGTGCTCCCGATGAAAGTTAATGGTAAATTAATGTTTCCACTGTGTAAGCGGTGTGCTATGAATGCCTCTGCAGAATGCCATCATTCCGAAAACCATCATTCCTCATCCTTCTCCACGCTCAAATTATCAGTAATTCGTGGTTATTGAACAAATGCAAGCTTGCCTCAACATGTAATGTTTTTATTAAAATGTTATGTTTAGATATTTTACTAAGTTTTGAAATTTGTTAATTGAAGTATTATATACAATTTCAGCCAAACCTATACTGTTAAATACAGTTTTGAACATAATTGTATATACCTGATGTCATACTGTCTTGGTGTGAATCCGTGTGATGAATATGTTAACTCGGAATGCAAACTCTTTAATAAACAGAACATAGCATACCGCTTTTTGTGACCATTTGTGTATGGGATTCCATCGTTGATTTTCGTAAGGCGAAATCTGAACGCGTATAGGAATATCACATTTGTTTACGTAGAAGTACACATTCTGATCACCTTCGACAGCAAATGCACATGGCTTTACGGCTGATATTGTTTTTATGATAACCGTATCATCTGATCAAGCTTGCAATTTATTGTCCTCCAGGGATAAGGTGTACGATATACCGTTTGCATCGGCAAACCAAATAACCCCTTTGCTGTTCATAACTCGATAAAATCGAACTTTCAATTTCGATTTGTTTCTGAACTCGGAAACACACAGTCAGGATTTTTCAGTAATCCATTACATAAGGGCACAATGCATAATGGCAGAGAGTACTTCCTGTTTTAACCTCCTGTGAGTCCTCTCATCAGTACCTTCCTTCCCTCAAACACGCCGGTTCATTTCATCAATCCCAGACCTCAGTGTCACGTGTGGTCCATTACATGCCATAAACCGTTTACCACATGGTTAAATGAATTGTAACAAATTAGTTGCAAAATGACAAACAACAAATTACTAACATTGGTGTTTGTTTTTAATGGTGGAAAAATTTTGTTGGGATTGAAGAAGCGAGGATTTGGAGCTGGAAGATGGAATGGATTTGGTGGCAAAGTAGATAGCACAGAAACAATTGAGGCAGGAGCAAAAAGGTGGGTTGCAAGTTTGGACTTTTTGAACTCTGGCAGGTAATTTACACAATGGCAAATCTGTAATTTTTAGAGAGTTAAAAGAAGAATGCAATCTAACCACAAGAGACCTAAAACATGTTGGAATATTAAAGTTTGAGTTTGTTAATGAGCCACAAATCATGGAAGTTCATGTTTTTACAACCAAGGTTTACGAAGGGGAAGTACAAGAATCAGAAGGTGGACAAGTTAAAATCAATGGCATAGCCAGTTTGCACATTTTAGTCCAATTTTGTAAATTTCAGCACATTATTGTTTTTCATACCTGTAGAAATTCATTGTTTTTACAGTGTGTGAACGAAGAAAAATGTAGATCAAGGCACTAAATATGCAGGCTGGCTACGCTACTGCTTAAAATTAATTCAGAATAAATATCAAGCCTTTTCATAAATTAATTTTATGCAGGCTGGCTATGCCACTGCTTAAAATTACTTCAGAATAAATATCAAGCCTTTTCATAAATTAATTTTATGCAGGCTGGCTATGCCACTGCTTAAAATTAATTCAGAATAAACATAAAGCTTTTTCATAAATTAATTTTATGGATTTTTCCTCCAACAGAAATGAGACCTAAGTGGTTTAACATGGATGAAATTCCAATGATCTATAAAGCTGATTAAATAAGATTTGTGACTTAAATACCCCCAAATATTGTTAAGATATCAAACTTTGGGTTGTAACAGCTTATATGCACGTGTATACGAAAAAACATTTCAAATTAAAGAGAATTTGTTTTAAAATGCCCTGATAAAATTATAGTATTTGTTCAGAGGCGAAATATTCAACTTTATATTTTAATTAGCAGGTTCAGCAATTTTTCCATCCCTATCATTTACGAATAAATATATGTCTAAATTCAGCTTACACAAGCAATAATTAAACGTTTTTCTTCCTATAAAATATGATTAAGTAATTATTTATGATAAAGACTTCCTACTAAGTAGCTACAATTGTTTGACGTTTATACGTCAACAACGGTCGGTTTCTTTTTTTTGTAATTTCTTGAACTAAAAAGTCATCATTTGTACTTATCAAATGAATTTCATTCCTTGACCAAACCATAATTGTGTTGTGGCATTATCTGATGATGCACAACGATGTTTTTTGTCATAACAACTATAAAATCCAAAATTATCTTCTCCTCCGTTACCATTACAGACA